GCCTACTTCTACGCAGAGAAGGTTTGTGGAGTATAATTCAAAACCCACCAGAGGTAGATGCTTGGGATCCAGAAGATGAGGATGATGCCCAGAAAATACAAGAATATAAACTGAAAAATGAGCAAGCTCTCTGTATAATAGGACTGACACTCTGTGACCAGCAGCTAGTACATATTCGTGGAGAAGAAACAGCTACAAAATGTTAGGAGAATTTAAAGAAGATTTATGTTCGAGACAGTGTAGGAGCACATATAAATCTTACACGGAAGCTGTTCAGAACACATCTTCAAAAGAATGGAGACATGTTGACTCATATAAACACTATGAAGAAGATTTTTCAGGAACTGCATGAAAAAGAACTTATCTTCACAGAACTGCATCAGGTTTATATAATTTTGTCTTCGTTAGATGAGAACTATGATGACTATGTAACTTCACTGGAAGTACTGCCAAAAGATAACCTCACATTAACTGACATTACTGGCAGATTAATTGAAGAAGCCAGGAGAAGACTTGAAAGGGATCAACTGAGAAGGGAACAACCACAAGAAGAGAAAGAATCTTCGACAGCCTATACAATTAGAAAATGTTTTAATTGTGGAGGAAAAGGACATTTGGCTAGATTCTGCAAAAAAGAAAAACGCCACAATGCCAGCCAGAATGCTAAAAGGCATCAAAAGGATAAAAAATGCTTAGAGTTAGCCATGTATAGCAACGAAACTGTGAATAATAATTTATGGGTTGTAGATAGTGAAGCATCGCACTGCATAATGAAAGATAAGAAAAAAATTGTTAAGATGTCTACGAGTTCACAGCAGATATCATTAGCTAATGGCTGGAAAATGAAAGCAAAAGGTGAAGGTATTGCACATTGTTCTTGCATAAAAGAAAATGTAAAAATGTTATATGTACCACAACTTAAGTTTAATTTGCTTTCGGTTAGAGTTTTGGTTAAACTAGGTTATGTAGTTACCTTTAGGGGAGAAAACTGCATAATGGAAAAGGAAGGTAAAAAAGTGACTGCAACTTTAAAAGGTGAATTGTATGTGTTAAATGATAATCAATTAGAGGTGGCTAACACAGTGTATAATAACGTTAAACCTCATGATGAATGCATACATTTGTTACACAGACATTTAGGGCATATAAATTTTAAAATGCTCAAGCAAACGGTTGAACTGTCTGAAGGTATAAAACTGAAGCCTTGCAGCAAGTATTTGCACTGCAATGCTTGCAGTCAAGAAAAAAGCAAGGTAATACCAGCAAATAGAATAAATGGATTTAAGACTAAGGAACCTCTAGAGGTCGTATTTGCTGATATTATAGGTCCTAAAAAACCAAGTGTGGGAGGTGCTCGTTATATATTAACCATAATGGATCATTATTCTAGATATGGTTTCTGTTATTTAATGAAGAGTAAAACGGAAACATATCATAATTTCTTTAATTGGTTGAAGTTTGCAGAAAGAAAAACTAAAAGGAAACTAGTAACTCTTGTAACTGATAATGGTACGGAATTTATAAATAATAAATTCCAAAATAGACTGAAGATGGCAGGTGTTGAACATAAAAAGTCTGCACCATATAGGCCACAACATAATTCTTTTATAGAAAGACGAGGCCAAACAATACAGGCAATGGCTCGTACTATGTTGTCGGATTCAGGATTACCTGAAACTTTGTGGGGAGAAGCAATAATGTGTGGTAATCATATATTGAATAATGTTGTTAACTCAACAACAGGTGAATTACCATTCACAAGGTGGCATGGTAGAAAACCTGACCTAAGCTACATGCACACATTTGGAGCACCAGCATGGGTGCATATTCCTACACAACTGAGACATAAGGGGCAGCATAGGGCTAAAAGGTTATTCTTTGTAGGTTATGAATCTAATCACAAATCATACAGATTCTGGGGAAAAGGTACATCTAGCGTTTACTGTAGTGCTAGTGCACAATTCCTTGAACATGTAGGATGGGAAAAACTGGAGCAAGATTCAAGTAAGGATGTAATCATAGAAACCTACAAAAGACCAAAACAACATATCAGTAATAAGAAGAGTACAATTAAAGAGGAAGTACAGGAAGAGCAAATAGGACCAGAACAGGAAGAAATAGATGAACAGGAAGAAATAGATAACCAGGAACAGGTAGTACATGAAAGTCCACCTGTAAGCCCTATAATACCTAGACGTTCAACACGTGAAACCAGACCACCTGACAGGTACCAAGCAAGTGTAGTTTGCCAAGTTAGTAAGTTCCAACTACTGTTGAAGAACTTAGAATGTATCCAGCAAAGGAACAAGAAAATTGGCATAGAGCAATGGAGAAAGAACTAAATTCACTGAAACAAATGGAAGTTTATGAAAATGTTAAATTACCTCCAGGTGAAAAGTCCATTGGCTGTAAATGGATATTTAAATTAAAAGGTAAAAATGGGACTGTTACACATAAGGCTAGGTTGGTAGCTCAAGGATTTAATCAAACTGCATGTGATTATGATGAAGTATTTGCACCGAGTCTAAAAGCAACAACCTTGAGAGCAGCTTTAGTGTGGGCAGCTAAGAAGAACTATATTATAAATCACTTAGATGTAGAAACTGCCTATCTGCATGCACCATTGCAGCACACTATATACCTAAAGAAACCTGTAGGAATTAAGGATGATAAAACAAATAATGACTTTGGAAGCTTAAAAAGAGTCTCTATGGATTAAAACAATCTGGTTACGAATGGAACCAATATATTGTTAAGGAGTTAAACAATATAGGGTTTAAAGCAGGTTTAGCTGATCCATGTGTATTTAAGAAAGAGACAAATGGAACAGTATCATTGTTATTGTTGTTCACTGATGATATTGCCTTAATTACAAAAACTAATAATGAAGCTACTGAAATAATATCATTATTAGGTAAGAGGATAAAATTAAAGCAATTAGGAGAGATAAAACAGTATCTAGGATTAACAATAAATAAAACCAAAGGTGGCTATAAGATATCTCAAGAGGATAAGATTTATCAATTACTAAAAACATACAAGATGGAACTTTGTAAGCCGGCTAAAACTCCAATGAGTCAAGAATTTAGCCACACTGATATTCAAAGTCCAAAGTTTGATAAAACTATCTATCAATCGCTAATTGGTAGTTTATCATACATTAGTAATTGGTCAAGGCCAGATATTGCCTATAGCGTTAATCAATTGGCAAGATTCAACGCTGAACCCACTAAACAACACTGGCAAGCGACAAAACGTATCTTAAGATATCTTAAAAGGACAATGCACTATGCATTGTATTTGGAGCCAAAAGATGATCTGATTTTAAGTGCATATGCTGATGCAAGTTTTGCAACAGACATAAACACTAGGAAATCAACCTCAGGTACGGCTATACTGTTAGGAAAAGCACTGATTGGTTGGAGGTCAATTAGACAGCAACACATAAGTATGTCCACAATGGAAGCAGAATTTTCATGTCTATCTTTATTATGTGCTGATTTAATTCTGTATAAACAGTTGTTATTGGATATGGGAATAACTGTTAATGATTCCGTTGTAGTATATGAGGACAATCAAGCAGCCATACGGATGGCTACAAATATTGCTGTGAAAACGAGATCTAAGCATACAGATCTTAGATATCTGAATGTAAGGCAATCTGTAAAAAATGGTTTGATAAGACTGGAATATTGTATGATTGAAGAAAATATTGCTGATCAATTTACGAAAGCCCAAGGTTCAGTCAAACACAAAGAAAGTTGTGATGACTATGAGTTAAGGTTGTAAATAGATATATATATATTATTATTATATTACCCAAAAGGGGAGTATGTTAGGAATAACAAGGTTACCTAACGTAGTTTGGGTAAAATAATATATATAAACTATGATAGTAAGATAGTAAGTGTGTCACTTTAAACTGCAAAGCATGTAATTTTGGGTGCGGTTGTAAAACCGCCATAAGAGGGAGCAAGAGAACCTGCTGGATTGCTGACTATGCTGGATTGATGGTTTGCTAACTGCGTGTTCCCTGCTGCTGAGTTTTTGAACGTTGAAGGAAGAAAGGAGGTTTGACTTCTTTATATCTCTACGGCGAGGAGATATATTACTGGACTGATATTTGTAAGTTTACTAACCTTTTTTTCGACACTGGACTTTGCAACTGAATAATCCCCAAACGGACTGAACTAAATGATATATGGACTGTTTGACTATGCTAAAACTCTTACTGAAATAAACTATTTAACTAGCACAGTGTATCTGTTTTACTGAGTGTAAGCTACAAAAACGTTTATCTCACATATTTGCCTGCCTGCCTGCCTGCCTGCCGTGCACATTCCGCTAGGGTGTATCCCTAACAGCCTCCTACTGGCCAGTAACCAATAACATCTAAAGCCTTCATTAATATATATTTTTTATATGTATACATTTCTTGAACAATAATTATATGGGTATTTTTGTTGACATGGTTCCCCAGTGTTCAGGTGACTCATGTTGAGACCTAGTTAATTGGAATCAAGTGACAACTGGATTTATTTTCTGGAAGGATTTAATAATGTGATTATGTGGTTAGGATCCTGGATAGCAGGTTAGCAAGCCCATGTTGGAGATCCGAGTGCTGCCCTGGGGTAGGATGAACTCCCATCTCGTCCTGCCAGGGACATGAAAGGAGCCTCCAGTTGTGTGACCTCCAGGCAGTGGTGATGTCACCGGCTAACCCTTTTGAACTCAGAAGCACGAGTGCGATGCTATGCGGTTACTGCATTTTCAGGAAACAATGAATATCATATAAATTATTAATGCTACTGCCAAGACACTCAGGTCTCAAAATTTACACAAAACAGTTACAAATGAAAGACAAATCTTTTTTTCACCGACAAGTATTTCCCTCCCTTTTGCATGCTCACAATAGAAGCATATTTAAGCACAGCATCACCAAAGGTGCATATGATTTGTTGACTGCTTTCTCACTTAACAGTTAAATATTTGCTTTTCAGGCTGTCCTCCCTTGGGTCTTGAAACTTTAAAAATTACTGATTTTCAGCTTCATGCTTCTACAGTGAAGAGATATGGTCTGGGAGCTCACAGAGCACGATTAAATATACAGGTAAGATTATCTATCTATCTATCTATCTATCTATCTATCTATCTATCTATCTATCTAATAACACATATATATGTTATTCAGCTTTGTTCAGGTATTTTCCCACGTCATTATAGTTGTGCTTTTAAAGTTGTAGCAACATTTCGGCAGAATCTCATCTGCCATCATCAGGCTTCTGTATTGTGTAAGATTCTGCCGAACTGTTGCTACAACTTTAGAAGCACAACTATAATGACGTGGGAAAATATCCGAACAAAGCTGAATAACATACATGTAAGTACCCGCGAAAACTTAAGAATATCTATATCTATATCTATATCTATATCTATATCTATATCTATATC